AATGGAAAATATTATTTGACTGTGAAGATTATGATTTTTTGAAAAAGAAGTATTTTGTAAACCTTAGTGCAACCACAGTTGATCTGTGAACAACAAAGGTTTAAACTGTGTGAATCCACTCAAATGGGAATTTTCTTCCATCTCTGTTACCCTTGAGATGGCAAGACAAGCCCTCATCTTCCTCCTCCTCCTCAGCCTAACTCAAGGTGAAGATGAGGCTAAAGACCTTTACGATTAGCCACTTAATGAATAGTAAATATATTTTCTCCTTCTTATGATTTTCTTTTCTCTCTCTTTTTTTTTTTTTTGAGACAAAGTCTCACGCTGTCACCCAGGCCGGAGTGCAATGGCATAATCTTGGCTCACTGCAACCTCTGCCTCCTGGTTTCAAGCAATTCTCCTGCCTCACCCTCCCAAGTAGCTGGAATTACAGGCATGCACCAGAACACCCAGCTAATTTTCGTATTTTCAGTAGAGATGGGGTTTTACCATGTTGGCCTTGCTAGTCTTAAAACTCCTGACCTCAAGCAATCCACCTGCCTCATCCTCCCAAAGTGCTGGGATTATAGGCATGAGCCACCACATCCAGCCTCCTTATGATTTTCTTAACAAAATTTTCCTTTCTCTAGTTTACTTTGTTGTAAGAATACAATATATAATACATATACAAAATGTGCGTTCATTATTTATGTTATTGGTAAGACTTCTGGTCAGTAGTAGGCTATTAGTAATTTGGGGGGAAGTCAAAATTCACACTTGGGTTTTCTAAAGCACTGGGGGTTTGGGGGCCCCTAATCCCCATGATGTTGAAGTAAGTCAACTGTTCTTAAAAAAAAAAAAACCCAGTATAGCTGATGTTAGAAATAAAATGAAGTAATTTTTTAAAAGCTCAAAAAATTCAAAAGAAAAAGAAAAAAGAACAGATGGGATAACTAGGAAATAAAGAGCAAGATGGTAGACTTAAACACAACTTTACTAACAATTATATTGAATTTAACTATCTAAATAACATATTTAAAGACAGATATTCTCAGACTGGATAAAAAAACAAAACTGAGAGGAGTAATGTTACCACAATGGCAAAGTAGAAGCAATCTGGCTTCACTCTTCCCCACAGAAAACCCAAACAACCATGCAGTACCAATTATCCTCAGGAGTGTCCCAGAAACAAAAATGGAGGCTGTGATGATCCCGGGAGGCAGAGAGAAGCAAAAAACTTCAAGCAGAAGGTAAAAGAAACAGCCTCTTCATCCATGACACCCCTCCCTCAAGCTGCCAGGCCCCATGTGGAAAAACTCCCATTGGCTCACATTACTACACTAAAAGAAGTGAGATCAAGGCAGACAGACACTTTCATCTCCATGTTGAGTTCCTTCACAGACAAATCATTCCTGCTTCATCCTAAGGGAAGCATCTTTGCCTACAGGGCAAAAAATTCTAGAGGCAGCCAGAAACAAAGGGTAGAGATGGGACTAGTGATCCCCAATGAACAAAACTCAGCGATCACCCTTCATCTCAGCCAAAAAGGACACCAAATCAGATAGGCTGTTTAGCAGTATCATGCTGTAGGAAGCATGCTCCGTGAATCCACAAGGCCATGAAGCCCTAGCAGCCTTCCCATGTAGCCAGGGTATCCTTTTTGTTGTAGACACTCCCAGTCCACAATAGTAAGCATTCTGAACTTCTACAAGAGCTGCAAAAGTTAGTTTTTTGACAAGATAAACAGTGTTGACAAACCTTTAGCTAGAATAAGAAAAAAAAGTAAAGACTCAAATAAATAATTTCAGACATGAAAGGAGATATTGTAACCAATGCCACAGAAATATAAAGGATCATTAGACACTATTATGAGTCACTATATACCAACAAGTTGGAAAACCTATAAAGAATGGATAAATTCCTGGATACATACAACCTAAGATTGAAACATAAAGACACAGAAAACCTAAAGAGACTGATAACAAGTAATATGACTGAGGCAATAAAAAGTCTCCCATCAAGAAAAACCTTAGGACCTGATGGCTTCACTCCTGAATTCTAATAAACATTTTAAAAAAGAACTAGTAGCAATTATACTCAAATTATTCCAAAAAACTGAAGATGGCAGATATTTTCGATCTCATTCTATGAAGCCAGCATTATCCTAATACCAAAACCAGACAAGAACACAAGGAAAGAAGTAAACTACAGAACAATATCTTAGATGAACACAGATGCAGAAATCCTCAACAAAATACTAGCAAACTGAACTCCACAGCATATTGAAAAGATCATTCAACAACCAAGTGCAATGGCTCATGCCTGTAATTCCAACACTTTGGGAGCCGAGGTGGATGAATCATCTGAGGTCAGGAGTTCAAGACCAACCTGGCCAACATGGAGAAACCCTGTCTCTACTAAAAATACAAAAAAATTAGCTAGGAGTGGTGGCACATGCCTGTAATCCCAGCTACTCTGGATGCTGAGGCAGGAGAACCAGGGAGTTGCTTGAACCAGAGAGTCGGAGGTTGTAGTGAGCCAAGATCATGCCACTGCACTCCAGCCTGAGTGAAACTCTGTCTCAAAAAAAAAAAGGATCACATTCATCATGATTAAGTGGAATTCAGATGGTTCAACATTACATCAACAGAATAAAAAACAAAAACCATGTAATCATTTCAATAGATGCTGAAAAACATTTGATTAAATTGAAATCCCTTCATGATAAAAAAAAAAAACTTTTCAACAACTTAGTAAAGAATAAATATACATGAAATCAATAAAAGCCACATATGACAAATCTAGAGCTAACATCATACTGAACATGGAAAAACTGCAAGCCTTCCCTCTAAGATTTAGAACATGACAAAGATGCCTACTTTCACCAGTTTTATGCAACACAGTATTGAAAGTCCTAGCCACAGCAATTAGGCAAGAGAATGAAATAAAGAGCATTCAAATTGCAAAGGAAAAAGTCAAATTATCCCATTTGCAGGTGACATGATCTTATACTTAAACCTAAAGACTCCAATGAACAGCCATTAGACTGGTAAACAAATTCAGTAAAGTTGTAAGATATAAAATCAACATATTAAAATCAGTTGTATTTCTATATGCCAAAAGTAAACAATCTGAAAAAGAAGTCAAGAAAGCAATCCCATTTACAATAGCTACAAAAAATATAAAATACCTAGGAATCAACTGAACCAAAAAAGTAAAAATATCTATACAAGGAAAACATTTGATAAAACGCTAATGAAAGAGAGAGGACACCAAAAAATGGAAAGACAGCTCATGTTCATTAATTAGAAGAATTCATATTGTTAAAATGTCCATCCTACCCAAAGCAATCTACAGATTCAATGCAATTCCTATCAAAATACCAATGATATTGTTCACAAAAATAGAAAAAAAAATAAAGAAATTTGTATGGAGCCACAAAAGACCCAGAATAGCCAACACAATCTTAAGCAGAAAAAAAAAAAGCATGAGGCATCACATTACCTAACTTCAAAATATACCACAAAGCTATAGTAACCAAAACAGCATGGTACTGGCATAAAAACGGACATGCAGGCCAATGGAACAGAATAGAGAACCCAGAAATAAATCCATGTGTTTTACAGGCAATTCCTTTTCAACAAAGGCAAATTAGGGAGAGGACAGACTCTTCAATAAATGGTTCTGGGAAAAATGTGTACCCATATGCAGAAAAATGTGTATCCATATGCAGAACAATAAAACTAGACCACCATCTCTTACCACATACAAAATTCAAATCAAAATGGATTAAAGACTTAAATATAAGGCCTGAACCTGTAAAGCTACTAAAAGAAAACATTGGGGAAACTCTCCAGGACACTGTACTGGGCAAATATTTCTTGAGAAATACCCCAGAAGCATGGAAGCCAATGCAGAAATAGAAAATGGAATCATATTAAGTTAAAAATCTTCTACATTGCAGAGAAAACAATCAGCAAAGTGAAGACATAACCCAGAGAATGGGAGAAAATATCTGCAAACTATCTCACAAGAAATTAATAATCAGAATATATAAGGAACTTAAAAAATAGCAACACACAAATTTATCTGATTTAAAATGGGCAAATGTTCTTTTTGTTGTTGTTGTTGTTAGAGTCTTGCTGTTACCCAGGCTGGAGTAGAGTGGTAACAATCTGGATATATACCTACCTCTGCTAGGTATATATCCAAGAGAAAGGAAATCAACATATCAAAGAGTTATCCACACTCCAATATTTACTGCAGCACTGTTTACAATAGTCATGATATGGAATCAACCTAAGTGTCCATCAATAAATATATGGATAAAGAAAATGTGCGCCGGGCACAGTGGCTAATGCCTGTAATCCCAGCACTTTGGGAGGCCAAGGCAGATGGATCTTGGATATATATCTAGCAGTGGGATCATCAGATTGTAAAGTAGTTCTATTTTTTTAGTTTTGTGAGGTACTTCCAAACTGTTTGCCGTAGTGGCTGTACTAATTCATTCCCACCAACAGTGTATGAGGGTTCCCTTTTCTCCACATCCTTGCCAGCATCTGTTATTGCCTGTCTCGATAAAAGTCATTTTTAACTGGGGTGAGGTGATGTCTCACTGTGAATATGTCAATTACCCTGATTTGACCATTACATATTTTATGCATGTATTAAAAAAATCACATGTACCTGATAAATATGTTCAATGATAACTTATTTATCAATAAAAAAGCAAGATTGAGGGACTTCCACTTCTTCTTAGGATATATTGTCACAACATTAACATCACTCCTATTCTAAAAATGAGTAAAGGCTGGATAATTTATAAAATCACAACTTTTCATGAACCCATCAGAAAATTGACGCTGCAAGAAAACTAAGCGATCTGAATGCCAAAGAATGACCAATCCTCTTTCAGGTGAGAATAGACACTTCAAAAGTTATCAAGTAGATACTGTGATAAAGTATCAAGGAAACACCCTGAAACCACCACAGTCGGAAATCTAAATACTCTGATGACGGAAGTACAAATAGGACACAGTACCAGCTGGAAAAAAGGTGAGCATAAACACTGAGGAGTTAAGATGAAATAGCTATGAAAAAGATATGCCCTTGGACTGTGAAAATAGAAAATAAAAGGTCCTTACTGTCCATGAAGTCTGTAATAGGCCAGCTGAAGTGCAAGCTGAATAAATGTATCCGGGTGAAGCATCTTCTTCTTGGTTAGCTTTTTGCCAAAAGATGTAAAGGCAAAAGCTGCAATCTGTAGATCAGATGCCTAACAAGAAGAATTAAATGAGAATGGTGAAAAATCATCTAAGGAGAATATACTGAAGAGAACCAAATTATCATCTGCATTAAAGTAATCATCAGACATAAAGAAGTAAAGGTGTTAAAGGCTTAATTTTAAAATCTTTTATGAAGACATGCGTGGATGACAGTTAAATTTGTATATATGGTTGTTAAAAGAAAAAAGCATTATTATTATTTAAGAGAAAAGTCAAAAAATATACCTCCCTGAGATACTGGGCTTTAGCTTGGTTGATGTCATTTAATACTTTCTCATCCACAGTGAAAATGAGCTCTTCTGGAAGTGGTATATCTCGTACCTTCTCTGAACCCTGAAAATAGGAAAGACTTAAAAATATTTTATCTATAAAATTATTAGGAGAAAAAAGGATGAAATATTTATTCGAATATACCTTCCATCTTCCTTCATTCTGAAAAATTTTCTCATCCACATAATAACAGATGTTCACCATAACCATTGCATCAAAAGGAGCATGCTAAAATGAGAATACACAAGATTTCTGAATACTTTATATCAACTTAAAACTTGACCCAATATTTTATTTTCACTTTGTCTCCATTCTTAACAGATAATAGAGTCATCAAATGCCTCACCTCCTGATAAGATACAGGATTCCCTACAGTTTAGTAACTGCTCTATTTTTTTTTTTTTTGGAAAAAAAATTGTTTAAATTTGCAAGCCCCTAGTTGGGCTCCTGGTGGGGCTTGGGATCATGAGGGTGTATAAAGTAACATATGAACAATCTAGAGAAATTGCTATTTTTACTAGAAGTCAAAGCAAGTTTATATATGCAATACGAAGATGTTCTGGAATTGTAAGAACAGGGTAGAAAAGCAGGTGGGTATGGCAGCCTATCTGAAAGCATTTGGGATGGGCATGAACTTAGGTAAGGACATAGGCCACTTAGGTTAAATATTAGAAAGCATATCCATTTTGTGTGTTTTATCTATATGAGTGTCCAGATGTGACAGAAATAATTCTCAGTTTAAGAAATGTGGGAAAGATAGGCTAGGTGTTACAGGGATGTTTTAGGTTTGTCAACTATATTAGAGAAAGAAATTGCAGTTTGTGAATTTTTCCATCATTTACTTTGAAGGACAAAGTTTTTGCCCATATTTTCCCCATATTCCTTAGATTAGAGTTATAACAGATAGGTTCCTTGTGACTGTTACCACTTTATATTAAACACAGATATCATTCATCTTCTGAATGTGACACTGTCAGCTTGGGAAGGAAAGAAGGAAAGTCTCAAGATATAGGCCCAGTTTCAGAGGAGTAATTAGGTGTCTTAAATGTCACCCTAACACTACAGCTCAGTAGCCTGTATCATGGCCCAGTGGAGCTTATAAACACAATTTATTGTTACCAACCAGGCAACAACTACATCAGGAAAGGCTCTTGAGGGAGGTCAGTATAAGATGCCTGAGTAGTTCTTCTGCCAGCAATAGCAGACATAACTAGACTCTCATAAATGTGGGGTATTTCACAATTTTACAAAGAATTTTCAGATATCACATACATTGTTTCATTTAAGACAAACAGTACCAGTTTCCAAGTAGAGCTGTAATTCTTCTTTTTTTTTTTTTTTTTTTTTTTTTTTTTTTTTTTTTTTTTTTTTTTGGAGACAGAGTCTCACTCTGTCACCTAGGCTGGAGTGCAGTGGCATAATCTCAGCTCACTGAAACTTCCACCTTCCAGGTTCAAGTGATTCTCCTGCCTCAGCCTCCTGAGTTGCTGGGATTACAGGTACACACCACCATGCCTGGCTAATCTTTGAGCTATAATTCTAAGCACCCATCTCCTGATGGAAAGCTAATAATCTCAAAAAAGAAAAGTCAGGAAATATAAAATTCCATTGCTATCCTGATGCTTTATTTGTTCACATAATTTTTACCTTTGATTTCTTGCACTTATACAGAGGCAATATGTGTTGACATAGTGTTTAAGAACGGAGGCTTTGGTTCTGAATTCAAACTCTGCTACTTCCTAGCAGTGCAACAGTCAGAAAGTTACTTTGCTTTCAAATTAAACTGCCTCATTTCCCCAGTAGAGATAATTCATATACACATACAGCTGCTGTGAAAAATAATTTTAATACTACTAATATGGTGCTTACTAAGGATCTGGCTCACAGCGATAATTAGTAAGTATTGTTATTATTAACTAAAGACCCTCTGCAAAGCCTTACCGTAAAGCCTACAATATAGAGAAGACAATGTACTTGACTTGAGGATTATAAAATATGAAAGAAATGTAATTAAGATAATCACAAAAGTATATATTCAACCAATTATAATTATGGAAGAGCAACACAGCTTTAGGGTAAAATAAGCTTTATATTACAGTACATATACTTCTTTTTCTTTCTTTCTTTTTTTTTTTTTTTGAGACAGGGTCTTGCTTTGTTGCCTGGGCTGGAGTACAGTGGTACAGCCATGGCTCACTGCAACTTGGACCTCCTAGGCTCAAGTGATCCTCCCACCTCAGCCTCCCAGGTAGTTGGGAGTATAGGTATGCATTACCATGCCCATCTAACTTTTTTTATTTTCTGTAGAGATGGGGTCTCACTATGTTGCCCAAGCTGGTTTAGAACTGCTGGAATCAAGTAATCCTCTCACCCTGGTCTCCCAAAGTCCTGGGATTATAGGCATAAGCTGTCATGCCTGGCCTACAGCATATGTATTTCACTAATGATGATTTACATGGGTTAAACTGCACCTTCCATAATCATCTTAGGTTAGAAGGGAAACCTACATGGAATTTAAAGCAAATTATCAGATGAAGATAATCAGATCAATTTCATAAATATATGCATGTTAATGCACACACATAAAACATGTTCACACGCTACAAAAACACAACTCAGTTGTGCTGAAAGATATGCTCATTATGGGCCCAATATTCTTTACTCAGAGACAGACAAGATTATCAAAATTATTTTCATCCTGAATTTGTGTGAACAGCAGGATACTGGTGTTATTAGTAAAAATCAGTTTAGCAAAAGGTGTCTTCTGGTGGGCTTGGGGATGAGGGACGGAAAGCAAGATGAGTTATTCTTAATAAGACTGACTTACTCTTATGTAAAAATGTAACATCCAAATTAAACAATTTAACATATAATGAAACACAACTCTCAAATGAGAATAATAGCTAAAAGCTAGAAAAGTATAACTGCAAGTTACATATATAATAATGGTCAATACAACCATTTAAATCAGGGAAGAAAGTGGTCAGAGAGGGAAAAGTGTGATGAATATTAAGGTCAGTTTCAGAATCAGTAGATAGGAAAATACTGTTAAGGGGAAAGAGGCAGTGTCAAAAGAAGGGGAAGAAGGGTTACCAACTGCAACAGACAGGTCAAAGAGAAATCAAGGGAAGAAGCCAAGAGGCAGTTAACCACCTTACAAAGGGTAGTTTTCAGGGAATGTTAAGAGATAAACCACACTGAGGAAGGGCATGGAGAATCAAATGAGGAGCTGAAGAGAAGAAAACTGAGGCAATTAACAAGAACTATTTTGTCAACAGTAGACTCAAAGGAAGAGTGAAGAGAACATCTTCAAAATGACTCATGGCAATCTTTTACTGCAGCTCTAATGAGATATTCTAATAGACATTTACTTTCAGTACCTATTAATCAAACAATCCATCTTGTTCTGAAATAACAGCTACTTTATTGTTCTTTAGGGAACCAAACACCACTCTGGTTTGAATGAGACTGATTCTACCACTAGATTCCAAGGCTGGGCATGTCACTCAGGCCAGGCTCATCCCCTCATTCCCCAGTAAGGGCACATGATTCACACGGGCCCATCACAACCGAGGAGGATTATTCCAGGACTTTTGCCAGAACCGTTGGAAAAAAAGAAGCTGGCTATTTCCCTTGGGAGTCAATAAGCTATGAAGAGAGCTATGAAGACATGAGACTGTTGGTACAACAATCACATTCATATCTAAATATGAAGCCAAACAAAGGAAAGTAGTACCAAAAAATGGGGAGAGATTTCTAATGAAAGCATCTGGACACTGAAGTCAGATTTACCCAAATTTAGCTACACCCCTTGACAACAAATATATCCTCAAGCTAATGCCAATTTGATTTAGGTTTCTATCACCTAAACCTGAATATGGATTAATACAACTGCTAATCCCCACCCCTTTGTTTGTTTGGAGATAAGAGTCTCACTCTGTTGCCCAGGCTGAAGTGCGGTGGCCCAGTCACCACTCACTGCAGCCTTAACCTCTCAGGCTCAAGCAATCCTCCCACTTGTATGACCACAGGCACACACAACCATGTGAGGCTAATTTTTAAATTTTTTTTAGAGATGGGATTTCATGAAGTTGCCCAGACCAGTCTCCATCTCCTGGGCTGGTGATCCACCTGCCTCAGCCCCTCAAAGTGCTGGGATTACAGGCATGAGCCATAGTGCCCAGCCCTAAACCCTTTTATAAAAAATTTTCTTGGTTCATGGACCTCCTGAATGGCTATCAGACAAGTAGTACACAGAGCTAGTAGACGTCCATGGGAGGAGAACAGAGGAGAAACAAGAAGAGTGATTTTTTGTGAAAAAGGTCAAAAATAGTAGTAACTGCCATTTTAATATCCACAGTCTAAATAGTGTTCCAAAGATCATGTGTCATTCTAGGAAAATAGTTACCTAGTTACTAGGTGAATCTTGAACTCTAGAAATATATCCATATGCATTGCTGTGTGCATAGAACAATACATAATGCCATATAATACCTTTTGAAATAGGTATTCTCAGCAAGCAGGTAATACTAGGTTTTAAGAGCTTATACCATGTAAATATTATATGCAAATTCCATTTTGCAGATATAATACACAACAAACTGTTGGCCTTACGACAGAAGAAAATAACTTGTCCTATACTCTACTTTCACTGAGAATTCATAACTAAACTTTTTACCAAAGTGCCATAAAACTAAATTAGTGTTCACTTATACTGTTCTACAGCACAAGTATTTATGGTTTATTGCCATTAATTTAACCTAAAAGATAAAAAGAGAAAAAAAAAATTTCAGTATTTTACTTACATCACAATTACAGCCAAATACTCCATTAGAAAAGGAAATCAAGTTATAGGATTTGTCACCCCAGCGTATTGCTGGATCTCCAATAAGGACGGCTGCAGTAATCTAAAATAAGTTTAATTTTTCCAAATTAAAAGGGTTTAATATTGGTTTGTAAGAATTTACATCTTAAACACATGTATCTTCTCACCATTCCTCTTCAGGTCAACCAAATTTAATAAAATAATAATATAGTTATACTCAAGAGAGAATATTTCTGGCTCTGACTTTAGCTGTTTCTCAAAATCTCAAGAAAATCCTACCAGAAAAGAAAATGCTGGTACAATATTAATGAATGTTTACAGAACATAGAATTGAGAGGAAAAGGCTTTTGTAACTTACATAGTACAAAAGATCTTGATAAAAGTTTACTCATTAAAGTCTAGTCAGGAGGAAACATTTTAAGAATTCATTTCCCACTAACCCTGTTTTTCGAACTGTATAGACTTTGGCTTATTAGTGATCATGGAATCAATTCAGTGCATCATAATAGTCCTTACAAGAAAGGAGAATAAAATAGACTGGAAATATGAGTGTACCTCACAGATAATAAAAGTAATTAGTGTTCTGTGAAACTCCTATTTTATATATGTGTTTGCATGCATATACGCATGTGAGCTGCAATCTAAATATATTTGTAACTACAAATTGTAGTCAAAAAAGTTTGAACAACACTGCATTAAAATATATTCTGCATTAAAAAGAAGTTTGGTGATTCTCCAAAAAAAAAAAAAAAAACAACAAAAAAAAAAACTTTCCTTGCTACAAGGTTTTACAATCCTTGATAATTTTTTCCTATTTAATACCAATTAATGCATTATAAAATAATTTAAGTATTTTCAAAAGACTATGAGATTTCTAATATAATTACTACCTCTTATTATTTCCTGGGAAACTAATGTCACTCAGTGGGGAAGCATAAAACGAGGCCATATTTACCCTTAAATTCACTGACGTCAATGTATTCAGTAATTAATCAAATGATATAAAAAATGACTTATGAGGGTGACATTCTTAGGACAGACACTCCCAACTACAGTGTCAAGATACACTAGTGTGGGTTATGAGTAGGTTCTCGTATCACCTTTGACACCTTTGTGCTTAAGAAAAGTACATTAAACCTAGTTGTCTGTATAAATTTTCTGAGTACACAAGCAATGAAAATGTTGAGAAACACTGACATGTGATATGCAGTCATACTTCTTTAAACAAAGTATAATACACATCTAATGAACCTAAACAATCTGGCAAGGATTTACCAGTTTACTATCTACTTTATAAGCTTCAATTTGGTACAAGTATATTGAATAGCTAACAGTAAGTTTCAAGAGGCTAAATATAGAAAAAGAAAAAAATCCTCTCATGTTCACTAAATATGAGTCTTCCAGAAAAATCTGCAAGAAATAAAACAGAACTTGGTTAAGTACCTCAGAATAATCCTCTGGTGTTACATGTGGACTGCTATCCTCCATGGAATACACCAGTAAACTACTCTGAACTTTTTCTAACAAAGTCAAGTTCTCTGGATCAAGACCAATCAGATATTCTCGTGCCTAAAGGGCAAGAAGATGATAATCAAATATTAGGAACTTAAATACGATATATCAAAAGAGTTCGTTAGAGAAAAGCTTTGTTAAGAAAAGCATAAATCAGAACCTTAGCCCATTGAGTTCGCTCCTCGCTAGTTAATGCTGCAATCCCAGGTCCATCAGGTTCACTATGGCACTTCTTGCGGATGTACATCAATTGTCTTATAGAATATGAAAGAAAGAAGATTTAAAAAGAGCACAGGCAGATAGTAACTATCTTGGCCTTTAAAAGGTCATAACGTTGATCAATATCTAAATGTTTGGGTGTATACCCAAAGAAACCACTTATGACCCCAACAGATTTCCTACATCACATATTTTTAAGTGATTGTGTCCTATTAACGCCAAAAGCGTATTTGACAATAATTTAATTTCAGTAAATAAATTTAGTTATTCGATAAATTTAGTTTGGCTAACATATACTTTGGAAATGTGCATGCACTTCTAGGTTACAAGTAAATATCCCTGACAATGGAGAACTTAAAAAATATCCTGGTCATCAATTTCACAAATATCATGTATATTTTATCCAACTATAAACTATGTGCATATATATTTAACCAGAGGACTTACTGTATATCCAATTAATATTTGCATTTTACCTCAAAGCACCAGTTTTGGCTATGAAGCTTTTTCTTCCTCCCTGAAATGATCATTTTCATGTTTGTTTTACAAGTTGGTTATTATTAGGGAGAAATTATAAAGGAAAATGTGTTAAACCTGAAATGACATTTTAAGTTTGATAATGAAAGGTCATATAACTGCCCAAATCATCGCCATTAAGAGATACAGATTTGGTAACAAGATAATCCCTCTTTTCTTTTAACTTGGCTAACTATGCACCTGAATTACAGAATCATATATTTTTAAATATTCTATACTCCACACAATCTGGCTTCTGCCTTCATTGCTTCCGATTCACTCTTTAATTTACTGACCTGAATTTTTGTCTTCCAGTGATTACCTTGAAACTGATCTTCTGAAAGTCACCAATAATGTCCCATAAAGGAAACCCAGTAGCTTTATTTCAGTCTAATTTTCCCTATTATAGAATGTCTGACACTCAGGTACAAATGTTAAAATTATCTTCTAACCTGATTTTTTCAATGTTCCCATTGTGATCTCTGTACCTCACTGAAGTCTTTCTCATTGACCATTTGCTCTCCTTAAACTGCTGAATGTGTCTTTTCCCAAATTTCTGTCATTGGCCTTCACAAGCTCCTCTTACAAGTTTCTCCATTGGTAATCTCGTCCACTTCTTTAATAGTTTCAATTATTACGTTTATGTTAAGAGGCAACTAACTCTCTAACTTCAACACCATTTTCTCTCTCAATCTCTGTTGCTGAAGTTCCAATGTGCTTGTTGGATATCTCTACTTCAATTCCTGCCAACATTTCCAGCTAAATGTACATTTAAACATTATCTCCCTCACTTTCCACAATTTTTTAGAAAGATCTTAAATATATGTATAAATCTTCATGTCCTCAGATTAAGCAATGAAATTTGTCAAAATGAAAAATTTTGTGCCTCAAAAGAGACCATCAAGAAAGTGAAAAGCAAAGCCCAGAATAGGAGGTATAATTTGCAAATGATATATCCATAAAAAGTCTTATATCTAAAGAACTATTACAACTCAAAAAGACAAATAACCTAATTTAAAAACTGGCCAAGTATCTGATTAGATATCTCTCCAAGGAAGATATATAAAAATGGCCAAAAGGCATGTGAAAAAATCTTCAACATCATTATCAAATATAAACTACAATGAGATCCCACTTTAACCTTATACACATGGCTATAATAAAAAGGGCAGACAATAAGTGTTGGTGAAGATATGGTGAAATTGGAACTCCAATATGCTCCTGATGGGAATGTAAAATGGTACAGCCATTTTGGAAAACAGTCTGGTAGTTTCTCAATAGCTAAACACTGAGTTACCATATGACCTGGCAATTCTACTCCTAAAATATACCCAAGAGAAATGAAAGTATATGTTCATATGAAAGCCTGTACATAATGTTCATGGCAGCATTATGAATAATTTATTGTCCATC